GGGAATGGATATGGGATGGGGGGGATGGGATGGGGGGGATTAAGGCGGTATACGGCTGGACAATGCTCCAACAACAGAGACCCACAGAGACACGGAGAAGCCCGCAGGGCCAGACCCGCCTTCTTCCACAGCACGCGGCTGAGACCAGGGGACCGATCCCCGTGCCGCACCAGGGCACCCAGCACATGCGCACTATAAGGGAGCCCAAGGTAGGAACTTGGAAGGAACCTGGAGGCTGGAGCTGGAGCACAAGCCATGGAGGAACGCTGCTTATTGGCTTGCTCCCCTGGTCCATGCTCAGTCTGCTTTCTTACGTAACACAGGCCCACCTGCCAGGGGATAGCACCACCCACAGTGGGCTGGGCCCTCCCACATCACTCAACAATGTAGAAGATGCCCCACAGACATGGCCACAGGTCAGTCCAATGGAGGAAATTCCCCAAGTGAGGCTCCCTCTACCCAAGTATGTGAAGTTGACAACTAAAGCTATCCAGTACACTACCCAAAAATCTTAACCATCTGCTACAGAGTATCTTGAGTCCTGGCTTTTAAATCAGCTCTCTAACTTACTCTCGCAGCTTCTTTTCCACATCTGGAAAATGGGGTAACGAATCCTACCTGGAACAGTTCCTGAGAGAAATAACTACCAAGAATTTCAAATTTTTTCTATCAAAAGAATGATCACAAGAATGTAACTTTTGTAATAACTATTTTGTAATCTCCACTGTCACCTTGTAAAACTTGTTTACACAAAGGCCATGCTGCACCCCCAGAACTTGAATTTGACTGTCCCGAGCCACCCACACTTTCCCCCTTTCCTTTATTTCCTCCGTACAGATTCTTTTAAGACTAGCCAACTGGGGAAGACTTTGATGTCAGACCCCAGCCAATGTAGAAAAGACACAGTATTCTTGTGTTAGGATAAAAACCTATCATGGAACTGGAGAGATGGCTTAGTGGTTAAGAGCACTGACTGCTGTTACAGAAGACCCAGATTCAAATCCCAGCACCCACATGGCAGCTAACAACTGTCCATAACTCCAGTTCCAGGGGATCTGATG